CGCTGCACGCTCGGGTATTTGCTTTGCACCTTTAAAGTGCAAAATACTGTTGCAGGACTGGATCGACACGCTCCCGCTTCTGGCTGTCACCGAACAGCTACTGGTAGTGGTGAATCGGGTTATTTACCTTGGTAGCTGTTTCATTTCTGGTGGTCACATCACTGAGACAGTTACTTCGCGCATCTGCGACAACCGTGTGGCTTTCCTGAGACTCAACCACACATAGAGGCGGCGGGATTTCAACTGGTTAGTGAATGGTAAGGTATATTACGCTGCGGCAAGACCAGCTTTACTGCATGGACCATATAGCTAACCGCTTCGCGGCGAAGACCTTAAACACTTGGCCATGTTTGACCATCGGTGCTTGTGGAGTATTGCTCATATTTGGTGGGAACAGGGTGAGCAATGCGGAGACACGCTAGCTGGTTTTTGGCAAATAGTCTTCTGATTCCTCAGTCGAGTGTTTCCTGAGTCCTAATTGCTTGCGTTGGCTAGGCCATGTCCTCCGTATGCTCCTTGCCCGGATTCCTCAGCGTGCATTCTACGCCGTGGCTTCGCCAAGTTGAGCGAAACCGCCTGGTGGCCAGTCCATGACGTGGCATCGAGTCATGAAGAAATTAACTGAGAGACTTGATTTGGCTGGTGCGTGCCGTCTTCGTAGATGGGGGCCTCAGGATTGTCCGCACCAATGGTTGGAGACCCTATCGGGCATGGCGCGATCACACAGTCAGCGGCGTTGCTGCATTCGCTTTTTTGCACCTGGTTGTTAATTTTCATTTTATTCTGCTTAGCCAAACGTACTTCCTTGCTTCCTTTCTCTTTACATCCTATTTGCCTTTAATCGCGCTGTCTTGTTGTTATTCTTGCGATGTGAGTCGTGGCAACTGGATTCAGCGCACTTCGGTGCTCGGATCATAGTTCATCAGCCGAACTGAATTTGCGTTGTTTGTGGGCCCGGGGTCTGAATGGAAGGAAAGAGGGGAGGCCAGGCGATGACTTGATCGAGAGGAAAGAAAACCCTCACTTCAAAATATGCCTCGGTTAATGTGCCCGACTGCCGGAGTTTTGCTGTCGTGCGAGCACCACCGGTCGCACGGTAGCGAAGCCGTTACGGCGTACAGCTGACACTGCCGGCCTGGGGTCCCAAAATTAATGAGCACCTTTGGTAGGATACGTTTACTGATCTGGTGAAAAGCCCAATGGCGTTTGTATTTTCAGTTACTTTGTCCATTCCTCTCCACTTTAGATTCCCCTCCAATTACGCTGTCATACCAAATGCATAAGCTGATATGTAACCTTATCTTACTTTTCGAAGTTTTTTAGTTTGTAATTTTTGGTATCTTTTTGTATTGCGCCACCTTAGCTGAGGTGTTTTTCTCACCCTCAGCTAACGTGTATTGAGTATGACTGCCTAGCACTCGTCTACGCACATCATTGTTGCGGACATGCTGATGTCACTCGGCACCAGCAGTGCTTGGGAGACAATGATGATCAAAAACTTGAAGGCGCCTCAGATCTTCAAATGGAATGGGCTGTTTCGCTACCATATACTAGAGCGGCCCTCACTGTGTCCTTTTAAACACGGCCTTTAAGACCGATGGGAGCCTATTTCCGACACCGGAGATGTGGTTGATACAAAAGATAGTTCTGGCTTTTTCAATATATGAACTGACGTGGTGGTTATGCGTCCATAGTTGCTGATGTAGCTGCCAACTGAAGTGGGCAACTAACTCTGGTTCCTCGCTACCAAGGGTCAAGGAGTCATTAAGTTGTTAGTCGTCCTGCAATAACACTTTACACTTTGAAGATGCGAAGCGCATGCCAAATGCTGAGACCCTTCTTGTGAGGCTATTCTGGCTTGCTTGAGCCGCCCCATCATCGTTAAACAGCGGCACAATATCCGCATAATCAAGCAGGATCTCGACGCCTACATCGTGAGATCCCGTGAGGGCACACTCCCGATAGAGTCCCCGAGAAAGTTGAACAAAAACGGAGGAGTTTGGCAACCCTGACATATGCCGCTTGTTGTCGGAAAGATGTCTGATAAGTCACCGTAGACCTTGACGCAGGCTGTCGTGTTCGATCATAGAAGACGTAAAATGTTCACATTTCATGGGAATACCTTACCATGCAAGTATCTCGAACATCGATCGACTGCGTCGAATGCACTTTTGACGTCAGGGAACACACTATTGTCGGTCTGCTGTATGCGTTACACTACTGTAGCACCTGACGCATGGTTAATATGTGGTCTATATAGCCCGTCCTGGGCGGAAACTTGCCTGCTGTTTTTTACTCCCGGGTTCCCGTTCCGCAGTGAGGCGACGAACTGGAATTCAAGCCAGTAATTTTGTCACAACTGGTTTCGGGTTGACACCACTGTGGTTAATACAGTTGGTGGGGTTGCTATTCTTGTGAATTACCGCTATAATCGATTCACTCCAGTTAGCCGGGACACATGTTCGAACAGGTAGGTCAGTCCTTCGCAAAGGACATTGCCACCATTCTTAACTATTGCGGCTGAGAGCGAATCCGGTCTAAAAGCACTAAAACGAATAAAGGATGTGAGCGCTTTTCGGACCCCAGTCTCTGATAGAGGCATTAAACTAATCGTCCATGGCCCATCATGCATCATTAGAGTAGGAAGAGGTTCGGAAGCAGGGGCTAACTGAACTGATCTTGGAATTGTTGCGCCGAACGAGCCATACGGCGTTCTTTATTGTGAATCATGGCTCCCGCGCTGTCTCTGCTTGTTTCAGTGACGCCTGGTTTTCTGGGACAATTAGTGTGGATCAGTTGGATGAGTATACAGTAATTGTCTGCTGCTCTTGCCCCCTCCATTTCTTGTGCACGACTCGTCCACCAGACGTCAGCACGCGGGTTCTGTTTTAGTCCGTGCCTAATAGTGTGTCTAATAACATTGTGCTCAGAGCCTGCTGGGAGTTTCCTGGATTCTGACAGGTTCACTGACCTCTCGGATTTCCAGCGAATTGTGTGATGATGACTGATGGTGCCACAAGCATAGGCTCCTGCATCGTGTATACTGGTCGTGATACTATTCCACCGAAGCTCAGTGTCATTATGAGGGGAGAGCGAAAGTTCTCTAAGGAGGGCATCCTAGTATGCTTGCCTAACCAATGGCTGAGATAACTTGCCAATCGAAGGAGACGCTTCTTACGCCTCCCGGTGGAGCTCATGGAGAAATGACAGTCTACTAAGGCATGACCAGAGTCGACGCCAATATTCCAGCGAGCACCAGTCTAGGGTGGAACCACGCCACCTGTAACTTATGGCAATGTGATCTATTTGGATCTATCGCTGACCAGATACAGGAGGGCGCCAGTAGGACTTCGGCGCCCACTGCGTCTAAAAACGGTACTACTACGAAACAGCAGGTGCTCAGCGCAGTTGCAACATACCCTCGCTTTTGTCCGTCGGTTCGGAGTTAAGTGCATAACTGCAATCTAGCTGTGCTTCTGAAGAGCTCAGGTGACCTACTTAGACATTCGTATCCCTTGAAACTGTAATTATCTCTGGATTGGTGACACTGCGAAGCAATGTCTTCAGTTTTTGGTAGAAGGTATTGTTGGCAGCACCCACACTGCTGTCGGTGGTGGGATAACTAGAAACGACATACAAACCGCGTCTAGTGATACTTCGTGAATCAACCTTAGTTGTTGTCGTCAAATGGGCTGCGCACATACAACTGTTCATGGGAATCTAATCAACCAACGATGACTCACTCTTACAGCTGGAAACGATGCCCACCGCGGCTTGCTCAGTGGTTGCTGCATCAACGTCTCCGGATGCTTGATACCAACAACGAAATCACAAGCCTAACGTAGTTAATTCAACAACCCCGCCATGATCATTGATCCTAGTTTCGGATACGCAACACACCTCAGTGCCCGGTGTGTCCAACGTGCGTGCGAGTGCAACCTACCTATCTATTTGCCTTAGAGTGTGAACGTTGAACACCGCCAGGAAAACAGATCGGCGTGGCCTCATAAGGGACAGTTGCCGTTAGGCGTTCAGTTGGTGGTGCGGGAAGGTAGCTGCAGATGATGTGACTCCAGTGATATTGGCGGCCGATAGCTTTATGGATCACAAACTTGCATTGTACTATGAAGTCGCGGGTTAGAGCATACGTAGGGACTGAACAACTCTCGCAGTATCCTTAGCCCAAGTGCTACTGGTGATGATTGTGCGGCAGCGAAGCGTCGATACTGCGTACCGGCTCGATACCGATGCCTTTTGCCTAGTGGCCTTGTGGCGATTGCCAATTAAGCCGGGAATTATGTAAGAGAGGTTAGTGATAGTTGTTGGGAGGGGAGTAAGAGAAACAGGTCGGATAGAAAGATTGGATGCGCCAACAGTAGCATGTTTTCACTTATCTACCGTGCTGTATGCAACGGATAAGGCGACTCTTGATAATCTGCGTGACGGCCGATGCAAGATGTGTCTGAGGTTTAGAGAAATAGTCTTGGTTCCACCCTTGCTGTGATGCTGCCAAGGTGCCCAGATCTAAACAGAAAATATCACTTAAGACAAGCAGTTACTAGCACAACTGCATGTAAATAAAATCCACGAAGGTTGAGTGCGGAATACCTTGTTCAGATAGCCCGTGATGCAATGCGTCTGTCCACAGCTGTCAACACTAATACGACAATATGGCTATGGAACTTTACCCGAATCGACGAGCTCGATTGGAAGTCAAGAATGGCAAGCATTTTGTCGGGCTATTTGAACAGATACGTACAGATGGAACCTGTCGGGCTACCTTGATTCCCTTAGTACATGGTAAAAGTACTTGTTATGATTGCCATCACACCATAGACTTAGGTGGGTATCGTCGGACTGACTCGTATTTGTCAGCATTTGGAAACATTTGACGACCTGTCTAACGTATGTCGCATTTTTTCAGTCCCTGACGTTTTGTTTAAGATCGATTCACGACCTACCTTCATACCTGCTTTCGTTACTCCTGACTGTATTTTTTAATGGATATTTGTAGATTCAATGTGCATTCGTTCCTGGCGCATATTCTTAAATCATCTTGGAGCTTTATCCCAGTCATGCTACCAACTGGAATTCCCGCTCGTTTATTCAGGCCCTGCCCACCAAAAGTGGGTAGCATCTACTTTTATATCTGCATAATGTCGCTTCTGTTTGCCAGTATACTTGTTTCATTAATGCTCTTCCAACCCGCCTCATCTTAATTCCTCTGTTTTGGCAATCCAGACCTTTGCTATCAACACTCAATTACTCATTTAAATCGCAATATGTTGAACGACGGATGAATTGCAACTAAACTTGCTGGGATGCCGAATGAATCGGAATTACTTATCTGTAAAGAGTTGCAAAGAATTACAAGTTGTTTTCCTTTCATCTTTGTTCGAAATTTTCGCATTCACTATGCAATCATTCCATAAGTGTCCTTTCTTCCAATCACCCATGCATGATTAGATCTTCCTGCCTAATTCTCGGTTATCTGGCCCATCTTTTGATCATAATTTGCTTCATAACTAGCGATGTCGAGTCAATAACCCGTGATATTTACCATGTCGGAGTTGATCATTTCAGGAAGGTTACGTATAACCTGTTTGAACAATTTTCATTGTATAGTTTTCTCTGCGCGACCCGACTTGGAAGGCATATTAGAGCTAGCAGATGGCATCTGAAGACGCGCTGTCTTTATCCTTTTGCCTGATACGCTTGCTAGCTGCAACTCGAATGTCACCAGAGTTAGATTCTATCGGTAGTCCGTAGCCTCAAGAATCACAAGCCTGCCCTGTAATCCGAGGGCGGGTGTTCGAGCCTGCGTATGGACTTGGTGAACTGCACTGTATACTTGGCCCACGTGCAGTTTGTGGTGGTTGCGCAGCAAGGAAGCGTCGGTACTGCGTACTGGTGTCCTGATGATCATCATTGTTATACACGTTAGCTATAGTGGAAAACACCACAGCTATTGTGCCGCAATACATGCGAAAAGGAGGAACAACTGAGGCACGCTTGTTGAGTCACCAGTAACGGATGAGCATCGTTCCAAAGAGCTAACAGCCAGCTGTTGTGCCACAAAAAATGTTACATTATCCCTAGTACATGCGATCGTGATTGGAGGTGGGGGGGCAGAGAGTGGAATAACTTCCTGCGTTTACCAAAGGCAGCGGCCACTTCCATGTCTGACGCACGATGGGACCACCAGGATTCGCAGTCTCTCTTCAGACTAGCACGGGATTTTGCCCTGATGTCTGCGAGTGTCCTTGTGTTCGCTTCCAGTCGGAATGTGCCGGCGAGTATCGGTAAGTTCCAAAGACTGCAAAGTGACCCAATGTCCATGTTGGCTATTTGATTTATGACATGAGGATTTACCTGCTGCTGGTAAGGTCTATTGAACATGCGACTAGTGACCTTCAACTTTATTAAGTAAGTGTTTGCTCAACCCGAATGCCAACATTCTTCGATACGCATTCAGAACATCTGGCTTCGCTAGTTGGCTGGTGTCTATACGCTCACAACTTCGTCGAGGACGTTCGCCGAAACGCACTCGCAGATCAGCACATACAAGTGCATGGCCAGTATCCACACATGTGCTCCAAATCGAGCAACAGTTTTGGGCGCATCCTCTCCAGCGGTGACTGGTCGCAGTATGATCGATTCGTGCCCGAGTCTGGTCTAAAGCTGGTGGGCGCTATGTCACTCTCCGACGGGTGTTATGTTGGAAGCTAGAGCTTGCAAGAAATAAGCGAGCATCCTCACACAGCTAAAGTAGTCGCTCATTGTTATTATTACGGGTGCCTCCACCATGTTGGCCGCCCAGATGCAGCACATCAGTGAACAATTTTCGGACTTGAGCGTTCAGATCCTCAGCCAGCACTGCACTGTCCGTGCTTCTGTGACGAAGCAGGTCATTCAGTTGGCGGTAGATGTCCTGTTTTATCGAATCATCACTACAGTTTGTGGGGGCGTAGGCAGCGATGACTAACAGACACCTACTAACCCCGCGCGGCATCAAAGCTTTGAACGAACCAGCCAGTCAGACCGCACATATTTGGTCACTGATTGGGATCCAATCAATCAGGGCAGCTTCAGCTCGGGGACTCAGGATGACGACAACACCGACTTGACCTATACTCGAACTTGTAACGTATTCGGATAGGCGCAGTGAGAATGCACTGCAGGTGTCACCTGAAGGGGATCGCAAAATGAGCACAGGGTTGTACTCCTGTAGGCGGGCTTTAGATAGTATATATTGATCGGGTGGGGGGTCTAATGTTCGGAAAAGTGATGCCTGTTGACCGATCTGTAGCAATGTGTGTACGTTGAGGCATGCCAATCTGAGGGAGGATTGAGGGCTGCAAATAGAGGCCGATGAACTGCGCTTATCCACTTGGTTAGACATGGACTTGTCGATTGGGCAGGTGTGATGCTCCGCGTTTGCGTGTGAGTTTAGATTAGAAGCTAAACGTCTATCAAAGCATGATGAGGGAGGGCCAAGAATTAGTAGGTTGAAAAAAAGGGTGGATGAAAGTCAAATTGGAACGGGACGATAAGGGTGAAAAAACGTAAGAAGGAGAACAATAAGGTTGGAAGGCTTGAGCAGAGACATCCAAACCCCTATCCACTTTGCTCAATGCAGTGGATAGGGCGTCTTCAATTGTCCAGTGTGACGGCCAGAGCATCAGGAAATGGTTGGAAGGGAAAGTCCAAGTGTTCTATTGCATGGGCAGCTTACTCTCAGGTTATCTAAGCCTAGACAGGAGAACGATTAGGATTCTGATCCAGACCTTTGATTCAAAAACTGATTGCAAGGCAGCCGGTTTGGTAGTGGACTACAAGGAGTCTGTTTTAAGAAATATCGAACCACTCTCACTCCAAACCCCAACCTGGGGGACGAGGGGACTGTGTTTGTCAAGCCTCTAACCATTGACCAATCTGGTATGAGTGGCTCTGAAGTTGCAAAAAGCACCACCTATTATGGTTCAATGGATCACTGAGGCAGGCAAACCAACGCACCATGATGAAGTCCAGCCTCATTTCGATTGAGGCGTTCTGCTGATGCCTCTCCCGCTAGCTCTCATCCGCAACGACAATCGTAAGTTTTGCTCGTCCACACTGATCTTTGGACTCGCGCCCGACGTTTATCTACACACGTACCTCAACAAGGCGCTTCGGTGGAAACGCTTATTTCTATGTTCACCCTTGAAAGTACACAGTTTGGACAGGTGAATAGATTTGTTTACCTGGGGAGTTGCATATCTGATGGTGGCACCATTGGAATGAAAGCTTTTCCCCGCATTACCAAAGCTCAATCTGTGTTTATCAATCTGAAACACTTTTGCTATCGCCGGGATGTCCTCTTGTCGATTAATGGCCTGGTTTACAATGTCTCCGTTCGAGCTGTTTTGCCTAATGGAGGCAAGTTATAGCCGGTTTGCACGGATGACTTGCGCTGGCTTTCATCCTTGGACATTGGATGCTTTTGGAGGATTGCTCTTGCGATAGAGATGATTTCTCCTTTCAGCCCATTTTGAAGCTCTGTCAGGTAACTGAGTGCTAACTCCAAAGACCACGGATATGGGGGGCTTTTTGTATGGATTGACGCAGAGGCACCCAGTTTACCTGACAGCGGTATGCATTCATTTTGACCCCCTAATATTGCGTTTACGACTAAGATCTGCCTCGACTTTGCTGATCGATCAGCACTCGAGGTTGCACTCAATCCACACAAGCATTAAGGTCACTTATCATCTGATTCACATTAACTCGAAGTTTGGATATCTACTACCCACCGGCTTCCACTGGCGTTCTGCCGATTCCTTTCTACTCACCACATCGGATGACGCTACCACAGACGTTCAACCTAATTTATTTGTATGATGAAGTACGCAACTCGTACCCAGATGAATGATGCCAGAGTAAACCAGTTCACTTCTCTGTGCCCTACTCACTTGGTTAAGAATGTTCCTTCAGGTTTTAGGTCAACTTTTAGACCGGGAACACTGTTGGCAATTCACTGGTCTTCCAGAAGTATCTGCTGTGCCATCCTGTTTACCACTGATACCCCGTGTTTACACTTGTTTCGCTTCAGGTTAAGCTCAAGCACGCGGTTGTCCGCTTTGTGGCTTCCACTCGTCCTCTCGCCACAGTACCCACCAGCGGACCAGATGTGAATCTTGTAGGCCAGTGCAATTTTGACGGGAATGTCGAAACTATTCAGCGTCGAATACCTCTCGCATCCACCATACGATTGGCTAATTCTGGAGCCAGTGAATTGCGGGAAGAATTTTTGCGTTTTTTCCGACTTGCAAATCATACACAGGTCGCTCCATCAACCGTTTTCCCCAAGCAACATGAAGGGAGTTATTTTGTGAATGCAGGTTAGTTTTACTGTTCGTTAACATTGTTTACTCTGCCAGGGATACTTTTTCTACGCTTCGTGGTTATTGCTCTTTACCATGGAGAGCAACACACATGGCACCTGCTCTCTCAGGCTGTAGCATTTCAATGAAGCGGCTAGCAATCACGGGAGACTACTTTTATCGCCTCACTTAGCCCAGAATGTGGCAGCTTGTTATTGACAACTCTGTATTGTTCTTACCTCATGGGAGCGAATGTGCACTATGTAACATCAGTTAACAGCGATGATTTGCAGCAGTTAGTTTTGCCCAGCTTACTACACACATATATTTATCGGGGTCTGACCGACTTACGATACATCGATCTCGGTTGTTATTAATTCTGGGAGCATAATGTCAACTTTAGTTAGCAAGCTAGCTCTACTGCAGTTGTCGGTTGGTGTCACACCGGTTGATGTGGTTGGATCGTCCATTTGGACTTCCTGGTAATATTTAGGGCAAAAATCAAATCCACACTTCCCACTTGTTCCTTTCGCTTATTCGATGTAGTGGGTTCTACGGACCACATGCGGATCCTGTGGGACCAGTTTTACAGTGCATCCCTTCATTAGCTCGTATGATGCCACTCTGATATGCTGACGGAAAAGACTGGCGTTCATTCTCCACCATGCTAGACATGCTGCTGACCGCCTTTATCGCCCCTACCTAACGGACCAGCACGGTAGATTACTTGTTTTGACCACGGCCTCTAAAGCGCCCCTCCTTTTACTTTGCTGCCTTGTTACTCGAATCAAAGGCTAAAGGTATATAACGTCCAACAAAACCCCTCCTTTGAAACTTAGTATCACCCACTCAAAAGACCATGAAACAATTGCTTGTTCCTCTCTCCGAGGTTTCCATGATGTACCAAATTTTTTTAATTTTTTCATGTTGTATAATAGATGATTTTATTTGACTCTATCAGCCCCAGTGCCAGATTAACTAATTTGCCCTTCTAACAAGTGGAGCCATTACATTGGGTTCTTTAACGCCTGCATTTTGTTAGATTGGTCAACAGGCGACACTTGAAGTTGTTATGTTGGGTCTCCCGACAGCGCATGCAGGAAACTTTCGTCCTACTTCATCTACGGTTTGCAAACTTGGATTCAAATGTCAAGGCTTACATTCCTCACATCATTGTTAATGCCAGCTCAGTGACCTGTAGTACTTACGGTATCGTGTTCTTTCTCAAACCAGCCGTTTAGAACAATCGGAGGATCCCTTTAGTAGCCTTTTCAACTTCGATGCAGGTAGTCCGAACAGTGACTACCGCTTTCTCCAGCCGTGCTTCGATAGTAACCGTCATACTAGCAATACAGGCGTTCACGCCAAGTTGCTCGGAGCCCGCCAAACGGTAACCTGTCTTGGCTTCAAACTGGCCATATAGACTTGCCTCAGATGAGGATCATCGTTCGATTTCGATGTTCCCATATTCATGTACATGTCCATCACTCCTTTGGCTTCAGCGAAGCACAGCGCTTCGAAACTAACTGTCCGTTTTCCGTACTCGTAGTTTACACAATACTGGTTTCAGTTCCTTTTGAGGAAAAGTTATCACAGACGAGCCAAATAGATGAACCGGACACTAATTTCAACCGCCTCCAATGTTCTGGGCAGCTGACTATCCATTCCGCTTTTTTGCCTGATCTGTGGCATTCGAACATTTAACCTAGAGATGCGTTAGCTGATCTCAATGTGACGTCATCTTCAGGGAGTAATTAACATCTTGAAACAGTATCTGAGTTGTGATTTCAGGACGTTACGGTGCGCCAGCAGTAGCACTAGCTTGTGAGCTGTTGAAGACCAGCACCACTGGGTACGACGGCTTGTTCTTAGGATTTATCCTGCTCTCGATTGCAATAGAAGCTCATGTGGATGAGACGTGGACAGACAGAGATAGATAACTTTTAAAAATCCCATGGCAGGTTCTTAAGTCGGGATAAGCGAGTATACGATTTCCATACTTCATCTTCAGGTTTGTACGATTATATACAAATCAAATTGGGTAGCCAAACATTACAAGTCCTTACTACAGGTGCGAGTTGATTTTCTGCCGACAACGGCTGACCGTTAGGTGACCACAACCGAGGTCATCAGCCGTTTTGGCCAAGGTAGACCTAATCCTCTTGTTAACTTCTTTTAAACGTACATTTCTGGTTCATACATCCGTCTCGCAATTCCTACAGCAGCTCTAGTATTCGTTTGCGCACGTAGTTCTATCGGTTCATCGGGGTCTGATAGGTGATTTTAAAGGAGGGCTGATTTGGTGGCATGCCCTGTGTCGACGGGATGCGCGGCTTTTGGAAAGTTGGCTGTTTTCCTGCTTCCAATTCCAAGTTAGGCCGAGTGGTTTTCCTTCACTCAGATAGGCGCCTTGTTGTGCGACCAATGTATTCAGCTTCGTAGGATCATTGGTTCATTGGTATGTAGAGAGCACTAGGGAAACCCTCTGGACGAACCTGTAGTATTCGGCTCTTGTACAACTTCCACTTGTGTCCTCGTGTCAAGCTGTCCACATTGGGCCGAAAGTGTTTTTATATCTCACTCTCAAGTTCTCTTCTTAGGATCTGTCTGGTGTAGATAAGATCTCCACGACGCCGACTCTAATCCATTGGGAATAAGTCCAACTTTCGGAGTTGAATAGGGTAAACAAGATCTCGAAGCGCCATGATGCATTATGAGCCATGCCTCTGAATCCTTTCTACCAAGTCACATTCAGATTTCAAGTGTGGATAAGTATCTGAAACCCCTTACTCCAATACGAGGGAACGTGATGTGAATAGAATTTTGAAAATTGTCGGAGTAATACGGGAGAACGGCCTACGTAGCTCACCTAGCAACATGCTTGCAGCCGCGATTCTTGTCGGGGTGTCTCGGGATGTTCTACAGTTATGTGATAGGACAACCCTCAGATCTTGTAAAGTAATCGCCAATATGGTATGCACCGAAGGAATCTAGTTCACCAATCGTGAGAACAGCACATTTGTCGCGGTTTGCGGGTAGTTGCCACTTGATGGACTAATCATGCAGCTGGTCTATCGCCGTTTGTAGTCTGTCAGCGTCCCCAAAGTTAACTACTTCTCACCATAGCTCTAGATCATCAACGTAGACTAAGCAGTCGGTTTAAAAAGCTACAGGGAGGTCATTAATGTAGAGTTTGGAAAGTTCTGACCCATGGACAGTGCCTTGTGGGACTCCGCTAGTCATGGACAAAGCCAGGCAGCGTTTGTCTCACCTTTACTTGAAGAGTCAGCTCTCTCAAGAAGTCTGCAACACATGCGAGGACGTTTCTATTGACAACAATTCCCCGGGGTTTAAGCAGAAGTCGTTTGCGCGGGACTTTGTCAAACGCCTTGCTGAAGTTAGTGTGGATAACATCTAACTGTCTCCGGTCGTTTACTGCTTTGACCCATGCTTCTCTGGTAACAAGCAGTTTAGAGATGCAGGAGCGAACTCTACAGAACCTGTGCTGTGTGGGGGAGATGACACACAGGCTTTTGCAGTGAGTGTGGAGGTCACGCTTGACGATCCGTTCCATGATCTTACAGATTACCGACCTCACGCATATCTATCGATAGATTGCAGGATTCTGCTAGTTCCCTCCTTCGTACTTGAGTATTACAATCTCCACTTTCCACTCAGGTGGTAGGCGCCCGTCTGCAAGAGAGCGCCGGAAAACTTGATGTGTTGGATCAGCAATGTATTCAACTACTATTATGAGGAATAGCGAATGAAGTCCATCGCGGCCCGGTGCGGAGTTAGGGTTCAGTTCGAGGAGGAGTCTCTTGACTATCTCGGGATCTATTACGACTTGCTGAACGGGAGGATGATGCCTTATATCGTCACTTGGTAATAGCGGTTCCACGGAGTAGATAGAGGAGTACTGGGAGGCTAGTAATTGCGCATTCGTAGGGCACTGTGTCTACCTGACAGAATAAAGTAGGAAAACCACTGCCAGCCTTGGTGTTTGGCTTTAGATACGAAAATTGCTACTTTCTGCAGGTTCGTGATTGCTTGACCAGGCTGTGTTCGTATTGTGCTCGCTTCTGGCACTTTTTTAGAGTGCACAAATTTCTGATCACCTTGTACTTCAACTAATCTGATGTTACCTCTGTTGACTGGATTACCTCCCGCAGTTTACGTCGTTTGTTCATCAGGGATCTCAACTCTCAATCGATCCAAGGGGAACCTTTGGGGAAGGCTTGCCCCTGGTGATAGGAACAATTTTTTCGATGATCGACATCATCTTCTAGCGTAGTAAGTACAGGAATTGTCTGATGGTTCAGTCTCTGTGGTGCTTGCCATTTCTTGTAATCTGGATGGGAAAAGCACGCCAGAACTTTCGACGATATGTCCCCTGATCGAGGAGGGCAAGACGGCATGCCCAAAAGAAGGACCTTTTACAGTGCTCACTCCGGCCGCGTTGTTGCAGAATCTTCAGACCATAGACATCAGAGAGCGCCGGTGTGAGGACGAGTACAAGTATGTTTGTTGTTTGGCCTTGCATCTTCCGTGATGGTGTTAAGACATGCTGGATCGGATTGTATTCGTGAATAGTGTCGAGAAGGTCGGCTTCGAAACAATCTTGGTAAAGATCACCGTGAAGAAGGTTTCACTCAATACTGGGTGCATTAAAGTCGCACATCAGCAGACAGTTCCTGCCTCTACCATTGGTTTTTACTGACTGTAATAGACGGACGCCTAAGCTCAGTAGTGCACTGTAAGCCACCACGACCATGTGTAGTTGATAGCCGTCATATATTCGGCACCACAGTATCTCTGAGGCTCCGTCATTGTCGCAGAGAGCTTCGATAACGTATACCTTTTGACAGATCCTCGAGTAGAGAATTACTCCACCCCCAGTCCGCCCACTGGAGCGATCTGCTCGTGAGAGTTGATATCCTGATGGGCTAATCTCAGCGTCCTGAATCTCTATTGATAACCAGCTCTCGGTGAGAGCCCTTAAATCTGGCTGATGCTCA